TGAAACTAATCACTTTGGTTAAGTCATTTAATTTTGACTATTGATTAATACAGAAAATAGTGTATTGATTGAGCATTGCATTTGCATCATTGTTGTGTGGGAGGAGATAGGGGATGTACTCCACGGTTTAGGGGAAGATTAGGGGATGGACCTCTAAACCGGATTTTGTTTGGGAGGAGATAGGGGAGGACTCCATTTAGCAATCACTTTATGTGTGCTTATTATATTGAAGTGTTTTATTGATAACAGTACTAAAATGTGTATCAATCGGAAGTATGAAGTGTTTTGATATTAGCCTGAGTCATTTGTTGTGATGAGTATTGGAAGGAATGTGAATATGTATATGTAGTTCACTGTTGTAAGTTTGGCCAGGTTCTGAGCCTTTGATAATAATGGAATTGAAACATGTCATAGACTTAGTGTCATGAGACTGTATTAAGTATAATTGATTATCTTGGTGCCATCTATTGAATGCTATAGCTTTATTCAATGCTTATATTTGGTTTAGTATTTTTCTACTGGGCTGTGGCTCACCCTTTATGGGAACATCATTTTCAGGTTCAGGTGATAAGCTACTTCCAAGGACTAGCTTGGAGGATTGGCTTGGATTTTGAAGACTTTTTTTAGTTATTTGTTTATTTGATAAACATTCAAGCCTAGGGCTTTATTTGTATTTGAGTTAGAAACTCATATTTTGTGTCCAAGTGTTGGCTTGGAAAGATGTAAGCCCATAGGCATTTTAATTTGATGTTACAAGTAATGTTTTATTTAGTAATACTCTGATGAATGAGATAATGAATTGTTTTCTCTTTCAATATTGCATGTCAAGGATATATATATATATTGGTTTATTGGTGAGGGCGTGACAACTTGTATCAGAGCGTACCGGGTTTGAATACTTTGGGTACGTGGGAAGTGATTAGTATCACCAATGGGTTCGTCTCGTTTGATAGAGACTTAGTGTAATGGTTATATGCAGCTTACATTGATAACATGTTTAGTGACTATGTGGGTATGGAATGAGTTCCTTGGATGTTGATTGGACCCTTGAGTTTCTAGTAGTTTGTTGGAAAGGCACTTGATCAATGCTGCTTCAACCGGAACTATAGTAACGCTTCAGGACTATCATCATCCAGGAATAAAATTCATAGTGCTTATGTGATTATGTGCTTACGTGGAATGAATATTATTGTTCCAATGCATTAGGACGCGAGTGTTTAGCTTCGGCACATTTATTAAATGTGCTAACGTCTTTGTTTCCTTTATTAGGATTTCAGGAACCGGAGGATCGAGACCGGGAAAGCGTAGTAGGACGGTGCAGGAGGCTAGAATGCGGTTGGGCTTGTCTGGTTAGCGCCGTCTGGCTATGCAGAGACTCAAATAAAACCTCGACGACGTGGCGTTTTGCCAGAGGAGATTTCGGCAGGTCAGGAGCAGGATATTTGGGCCAGAGCGCCATTACAATTGTTGGCCCAGCCAGGTTCCGTAGAGCCTGAGGCAAGTGTGCGGAAATGACCATCGGAGGCGCTCGTAGCCCGAGAGATAGCAGGGGGCATTTCAGTGGTGAGGACCTTTCTATTGTGCATCTAGTATTTGGAGGGTTTATTGCTACTCTCGTAGTCGCAACTACCGCTTCGCCTGCAGAATTTTGGTCACACCTACGTGGTCTCCGTTTGTTGCAGGAAAGTGAGCGAGGGGCATTTCTCTTCTTTCTTCGTGGTGCGTGTGCGCGATGATTGCAGGGATTCTAGGTTCTGACACTCAGGGTGTTCTAATTGATACGTCTTCGGGGAATCTTGATTTCACAGACATAGTAACTTTGTGTGGTGATCCTAAAGAGCCGCTTAAGCAGGAATGGAAATGTGCGCGGGAAATCAAGATTCTAGTATCTTCTGTGTCAAGTCACGCTATTCTTCGGAGGAGTTGACAGAAACCCCAAACGAAAGATCGTGCCTTGGAGTTATTGGTTTTGTTTCCAGGGCATCGAAGTACGACGGGGGTTGTAAAGTCTCTTGTACTCCCTTTGGTCATTTCTTTCAACCCTTTGGAAAGGGGGATGCCAGGCAGTCAGTGGTAAGTTGTGAAGATTCACCGATCTAAGGGTTCGTTAAATAGAGGTACATGGTGTGGGGCTTTTTGTGAAACTGGCATTTTCCACGAGAAAGCTGGAAGTTGGTTGCTTGATAACGATGATACAATGCAGTTAGGGTGAACGCAATGTGTTCTGGAGTTTGAGCTATGCACTCGTAAGTTTTTTTTCTTGCGCACCGCCATGTTTAAGCAGTATATTGTATCGAGTTCTTGACTACGTGGATGACCTTGTCAAAAGATTTTTGATGATTAGAAGGTGCACGATGCAGTGTATACCTGTTTGTCCAGGTTTGCACACGTGATGTTGAATTCCTCTGGTTTTTATGTTAAGCGCAGTCATTCTGGAAGGAACGTCTCGTGATCATGTATCGAGAGTTCGTGAGGAATTGAGAAGAAGTTGAGGCGTGGAGGGGTCTCTCTAGAGTCTGAGAGTTGTGAATGGTAA